CACTCCAGTCTGGGCGACAGAGTGAGAATCCAACTCAAAAAAAACAAACAAACAAAAAAACCTCTTGAACAATAAGACTCAGAGAGCTCCCAGGTTGAACACATCGATATGCTGGGAAGGTGGCAGAGGGCATGGATGCTCTGCATTCCTACACTTCATACTTGCCCTGTGCATCTCTCCCATTTAGCTGTTCCTGAGTCATATTATTTATAATAAACCAGGGAACATAAGTAAAGTGTTTTCTTGAGTTCTGTAAGTCATTCTAGCAAATTATCAAACTGAGGAGGGGAATGTAGGGATCTCCAAATGTATAGCTGATTGATCAGAAGTATAGATGACCCAGGTCTTGCAACTGGTGTCTGAAGTGGAGTACTCAATGGGACTGACTTGTTGGCTCTTAACCTGTGCGGTGTACACTAACTCCAGGAGTTAGTGTCAGAATTGAATTAAATTGTTAGACACATGGTTGGTATTAAAGAATTGGTTGTTGATGTGGAAAAAACTCCATACATTTGTTGTCAAAAGTGATGTTGGAAAAAAGACACCACGGTACCCATTTCTTAGTACTTAGATCTTGGCAATACAGATACAATTTTCTTTTCTCCCACTGGATTCTTGCTAGATGAATATAAGTGGAGAATGGTAGAGGGCTCTTCCCTCCATTACTGCACATAGGATTGGTTGAAGGTGACTACAAGAATGCAACTTTCTGATCACTTTCTCCTTTTCTGAAGGTGGGGATGAGGAGGCATTGGTTTGGCTTCTCTGGCACAGTACAGATGCCAGCCTGTATTCCTCACTGAACCAGGGACTACCAGGGGAAAGGTTTCAGCAGGGAGGTTACCTGAGCTTGTATAGTGTAGCTTAACCCCTGACATGGTTCTCAGCCTGGTGTGTACTTGCTCTGTAGTTGAGACTATAATGTACTCAGAGGTACCAAGCTCTGTAGGTGACAGTTCTATTATCACCTTTTCAGGCAGTCTGGGCACTGGGAAACATAGCTGGAGACAGCTCCGTTTGCCGTGATTACGTCTTGAACTGTTCTATCCTTAATCCTTTGTTAACGTAAGTAATTACAGTCATCTGCACCTGGGGTATCTATAGTGTGGCTATGTGGTGGGTCACTTGAAGGCAGCTTACTTGATTCCGTAAGATGATAGATAAATGCAAGACCAGGTGAGGTGGCCTTTGCCTATAATCCTGGCACTTTGGGAGCCCAAAGCAGGAAGCTTGCTTGAGTCTAAGAGTTTGAGACCAGCCTGGTCAACACAGCAAAACCTCATCTGTTTATATATATATTTTTAAAAAACTATAGAATGCATTCTGATTGTTGAAGTAAAAGATAGGTATCTTTGGAGATTAAGTTATGCCACTGGTCTGCACCAAGGAGGATCTTGTTCCTTCATGGTACTGTAAAACATTATATTTATAATACCTCCCTCATTTTTGAGCCAGGGAGAGAGACAGGACTACTCCATCTGGAAAATGTCAACCTTCTCTACAGAATGCATTGATTTGCTATGGGGTCACGCATAGGTACACTGGACAGCTCTGTTGTAAATCATAGATCAGTGACCCCATGAAAGATCTGGATTCCTTGCCCATCCCTCCCCCTATACCCTTAGAGAAAACTACATCTAAACCAAAACAGGTGAATGAACTGTCCTTTAGAGACTTAGGCTGCCACTATGACGTTCTTGGACCCTTCACAGAAAATTATTTCAGACTTTGTGACTAAAACTCTCACAGTGACTAGACCTTCAGCCGTTATTTCCAAAGAGAAGAGAACACTGTTCTTTGTCCTGGACTTATTAGGGGCATTGTATATCCTACCTTAAAGGCCTTACAGGCTTACTCAAGATCCAGCCCTCTGTTTTGTCCCTTTTTATGGTATTAACTAACCACAGCTGGCCCTGCACAGGATGGCTCTGTACAGAAGCTGGTCTCAGCCTATATTGGCTCTATTAACTTAGGTCTATGGGTAAGAAGAAATAAGCTGCTGGCATCTTAGGGGTCTGATTGGATTTGTCCCCAGGGTGCATTGGCAGCAGCCCTATGCCAAGGCATCCGTGCTCAGAATCTGGCTTTGTTATCTCCTTCAGACTTCTTACCAAATCCACACGACTGACAATGACACGGAATGCAGTCTGGGCCCTGTCAAACCTCTGCCGAGGGAAGAACCCACCCCCAGAGTTTGCAAAGGTGAGAGAGCTACTTACTAGTCCCTGATGGACAGTATGTTCCTTTATATGAAGTTTTTAAGTCTTTGGGATACCCCTCTGAGTCTCAAGTCATGGGAAACTGAAAGAGGCAATTGTTAGCTAGGCGCAGTGGCTCACGCCTGTAATCCCAACACTTTGGGAGGTGGAGGTGAGAAAATTGTCGGAGTCCAGGGGTTCGAGAACAGCCTTGGCAACTTGGCAAGACCTCATCTCTACAATAAATCAAAAAATTAGCCAGATGTGGTGGTGTGCACCTTTGGTTCCAGCTACTTTGAACCCAGCAGGTTGAGGCTGCAGTGGCCGTGAGCATGTCACTGCACTCCAGCCTAGGCAACAGAGTGAGACTCCTACTTAAAAAAAAAAAAAGAGGCAGTTGTCATGAGGTGAGTAATCTTGTATGTCTGGATGGTAAAGTGAAAAGGTAGGACTTAATGTTTAATGTAGTGGAGATCCCCAGGGTCTAGATTTACTTGTGGGAGAAGGGGTAGCAATTTTGGGGTAAGTGCGAGAGCTGATATAGTCTTGTCCCCCTGAGTCTTTCTCACTTTGCTTTCAATAGGTCTCTCCTTGTTTGCCTGTACTGTCTCGCCTACTCTTCAGCAGTGATTCAGACTTACTGGCAGATGCTTGCTGGGCACTTTCTTATCTGTCTGATGGCCCAAATGAGAAGATCCAGGCTGTCATAGACTCTGGAGTCTGCCGGAGATTGGTAGAGCTGCTAATGTGAGTAGTCTCATAGAGCATACAGGTTCCCTAAATTTCCCCAAGCTCAGGCTAAAAAGCTGCAGTCAGCAGTTTGCTGCCCTACTCAGAGGCCTGGAGGCATGAGAATGCTGCCAGCCTTGGTGGTCAGCAGGGCTGAAAATGGTGAACTGGCCCTCTGTTAATCAGCTCTCCCTCCTCTGTAGGCACAATGATTACAAAGTGGCTTCTCCTGCCCTGAGAGCCGTGGGTAACATCGTCACTGGGGATGACATCCAGACCCAGGTAAGGAGGAGACAGAAGGTGTACAGTCTTGGTTCAGACCTGCTATGAGAGAGCATTGTGGAGAGCTGTCTGTGGACAAAAGCCTTCCCTGCCAAGTTCTCTAGTTTTAATGGGAGACAGCATGGTCTAGGAGAGAAAGCGTGGGCTTAAGTAAAGAATTCCAACTCTGTATCTCTCTATGCGATTATGGGAAACTTGGTTCTATATTTTCTTCTATGTATACCACCATGCCCAGCTAATTTTTATATTTTTTGTAGAGACAGGGTCTCGCTATGTGGTCCAGGGTAGTCTTGAACTCCTGGTCTCAAGCAATCTTCGCAGTGTGCTAGGATTACAGGCATAAGCAATTGTGCTTGGCCTAACAGTTTTTTCCGAGTTTATTTATTTTTTTTAAAAGGCAGAGTCTTGACTGGGCACAGTGGCTCAAGCCTGTAATCTCAGCACTTTGGGAGGCCAAGGTGAGGGGATTGCCTGAGCCCATGAGTTTGAGACCAGCCTGGGCAACTTAGCAAGATCACATCTCTACAATAAATCAAAAAGTAAACTGGGTATGGTAGAGCATGCCTATAGTTCCAACTTCTTGGAAGGCTGAAACAGAGGAATCGCCTGAGCCAAGCTGATCAAGGCTGCCATGGCTGGGAGTGTGCCACTGCACTCCAGCCTGGTCGATGGAGTGAGACTCCAACTCAAGGGGAAAAAAAAGGCAGAGTCGTACTCTGTTGCTCAAGCTGGCCTTGAACTCCTGTGCTCAAGCAATCTTCCCACCTCAACCTCTTGAGTAGCTGAGGCTACGGGCTCATCCCACTGTGCCTGGCTTGCTCCAGTACGTTGATGTACAAAAGTTTTAAATTTTAATTAAGTCCAGTTTATCTAATTTTTCTTTTGTTTCCTGTGCTTTTGGTGTTCTAGGTCATTCTTAACTGTTCAGCCCTCCCTTGCCTTCTCCACTTGTTGAGCAGCCCCAAGGAGTCAATCCGGAAGGAAGCTTGCTGGACCATTTCAAATATCACTGCTGGCAACAGGGCTCAAATACAGGTAGAACAGGCAGGGATGTCTAGGAGCATGGGGATCCATAGCAACAAGGGAGCTTGTGGCATATTTGCTTTCAGAAGAATTTGTTTCCCTTCAGAAATTGTACTCACTGTGTGCTATAGGTCAGAGAATCTGTGTAGCCAAAACAGGTTTCCTCTGTAGCCTGTCACCTATATGGAAGAACAAAGAGAACTCCCAGGAAGGGGAAGATATCTGGTCTTAGCTGGTTTGAGGTCTTTCTCTTCTTGAAGTGACTTTCTCCCTCTATCCACTTCCCCTCAATCATCTCTCAGGCTGTTATAGACGCAAATATCTTTCCTGTGTTGATCGAAATCCTTCAGAAAGCAGAGTTCCGTACAAGGAAAGAGGCAGCCTGGGCCATCACCAATGCCACCTCAGGAGGGACCCCTGAGCAGATCAGGTATCACATTCCTTCCCATTGTCTTGAATGTTATGTGTGTTCTCCCTGTTTGCTCATGGTTTACAAACTGCTCTTGGTTTGGATAGGTCTGCCCTCTAGTCAGACTGCAATGGAGTTTAACTATTAAGCTGCTACAGTGACACTGGGATCTGGAATAGATTCCTGTAGACCATGATATATGGTGCCTCTTTTCCCTCCTGCAGAATAGAAACCTGTGACACAGACATCCAACCTTCTTCTACCTCTTTCTCTCCTCCAGAGAACTGAAATCTATGTAATTTTCAATTATTCCTACAAATGAAGGGGAACCATGCTGTGGCTTAATCAAAGCAGCTCCTTTGAGAAATCACTTTGGGGGTTGAAATGTGAGAGAAACAAATAGAAAGCTGTTTTGTGTGTGTGCTCTTTTATTTTGGCCTCCACTCTGAATTGTAAGCAAGAGTGTTGGAATTGGCTAAGTGTCTTGCTCTTCACGTCTTGCCTAATGTAGGGGAGTATAGTCAATATATATAAAACCTCAGGAGAAAAGGCATAGCTGCTGAATTAAGTTTTGAGGGATAAATATGGAGTTGTAAAAAGCCTCTTAGACAAGGCAAAGCATAAGTAAAGGTATAATAATCAGAAACCTGGAGACCTTTACAAGTTTGACTAGGATGTCATTTCCTTGGAAGGGAGTAATAGGAAGCAGAGCTAGAAAAGGAGGTAGGAGCAGATTGTAGAAAGTCTGTATTGTCATGCCATAGAATTTGAACTTCAGGGAAATAGGGAGCCTATGAAAAACTTTAAGCTGGGAAATGATGTGCTCAGAGTGGTAACATTGCAGCCAAGAAGACATTAAAGACAAGGAGTAGGAGTGTGGAGTGTATGGTAGCATCCACATGTAAAGTGAGAACTGGACCAATAGCAGTGAGAGGGTAAAGAAATTGAGATAGAGAAAGGTAAGATCAAGACTCAGTAAGTGTGGGGGACACTTGTTCTATGGCATAGAATGAGGTGTTGCTCGAATAATTAAAAAAAAAAAAAACTCAGTAAGAGTGGATTGCTGAGAGTGTTGGCATGTATGAGGGAGACCCACAGGACAAAGCACCTGCCCAGCACTTCACTCGCACTGCATGAATTTAGAACTTGCCTGGTCTCTGGCCCCCAGGTACTTGGTCTCACTGGGCTGCATCAAACCCCTGTGCGACTTGCTGACAGTAATGGATTCGAAGATTGTGCAAGTGGCCCTCAATGGACTTGAGAACATCCTGCGACTTGGAGAGCAAGAGGGCAAGCGCAGTGGCTCAGGGGTCAATCCCTACTGTGGCCTCATTGAGGAAGCCTATGGTATGTGTCCTGTTTCCTACCTCATCTCTGCCTTAAGCAGAGATGTTCTAGCTCAGAGCCTGCGACTGTGGGCCTCCAAAGTGGTATACGTATATGGTGAGGGGGGCATCCATAACTTCCATGAGACTTGCTTCTGTGTCTCCAAAAACAGATTAGAACTCCTGCTTTAGCCAAGTAACACCATCCACAGAGTTTCAAATGTTACCATGGGTGTGACAGGCATGTAGCTAGGATAGAGCTAGGATTTGAAATTATGTCCTTTGAATCCAAAGTTTTGTTTATTTATTTATTTTGAGTCAGAGTCTCACTCTGTTACCCGGACTGGAATAGAGTGGCACATTCATGGCTACTGCAGCTTCAACCTGCTAGGCTTAGGCAATCCTTCTGCCTCAGCCTTCCAAGTAGCTGGAACCACAGGGACATGCTACCATGCCCAGTTAATTTTTTTGATTTATTGTAGAAGTGAGGTTGCTCCAAGGCTGGTCTTGAACCCTTGGGCTCAGGCAGTCCTCTCACTTTTGCCTTTCAAAGTGCTGGGATTACAGGCATGAGCCACTGAGCCTAGCTGAATCCAGAATTTTATCCCATTATTTCCTTCTCCCTCTGAAGAGCAGGAGGTCAGTTCTCTCTCTTTCTTTCTTTCTTTTTTTTTTTTGAGTTGGAGTCTCACTCTGTCGCCCAGACTAGAGTACAGCGGCTGCTCCTAGCCACTGCAGCCTCGACCTGCTGGGCTCCGGCGATCCTTCCACCTCAGCCTTCCAAGTAGCTGGAACTAAAGGCGCGCGCTACCACGCCTGGCTAATTTTTTGATTTATTGTAGAGATGAGGTCTCACCAAGTTGCCCAGGTGGGTCCCGAACAGTTCTTTTTCTGATAGGCTCCACTTGGCAAGTAGGTTTGGTACAGATGCAAAAATGAAGATCCAAAACCAATAGTGAAATCAGGATCTGGAAGGTATGTATTTCCAGCAGAGTTTCTAGCAAGTTCCAGTAAGAGTGTTGGATTGACTCATCACCCATCTCTCAGAAGAGAGGCTAATGATTTGCCTAGGTCATACAGCTAGTTTAAAGCAGAATTAGGACTAGAGCCTCTATAACTGACATTTTGGTCTCTTTCCTTGGGGATTCTGTTGTCTTGGGAAGAGATCTTGACTTTCCTCTTTTGGATCAAAAAGATCTGATTTATTACTTGTGTTGGTAAGTACTAACATTTCTCAGGGAAGGAAAAATAGATGTTTCACCTCCCAAAGGCACTCATGCTTCATTCTCCCTCCTTCCTTCTTGCCACTATAGGCTTGGATAAAATTGAGTTTCTCCAGAGCCATGAGAACCAGGAGATCTACCAGAAGGCCTTCGACCTCTTTGAGCACTACTTTGGTGTGGAAGATGATGATAGCAGCCTGGCTCCCCAAGTGGATGAAACGCAACAGCAATTCATCTTCCAGCAGCCTGAGGCCCCTATGGAGGGCTTCCAGCTATAATATCTGCCTCCGGGGAGGGGAGGGGATGAGAAGCACCATCAGCCAGTGGAAGAGCAGCCCTCTGGTGGGCGGGAAACCAGCCCCCCCACCATCAGCCACCACACACCTCTGCTGCCCTGGAGACTGTGCTCTTGACCTGCTCCGCCCCCTTCCCTGGAGGGATCACCCTCTGGACAGACAGAACCATCTGAGGCTCACATGTGGGTTTTGTGACAAGAAGGGGATGTGTTGGGTTTTTCTTCCTTACACTATATTTTGGCTGCATACATGTCTTTAACCCAGGAGCCCAGGGGTAGACAAAGGAGGACTAAGGTAATCAATTTGCACCTTTTTTTAATTTTTCTTTTTTTCTTTACTGGTGACTTCCTTCCCTTTTATCTTTTTACATCCTTCCCAGTCCTCTGCCCTGATCTGTGTAACTCTTATTTTGGGTACTTGAGCAGATGGAATACTCCAGAGGTGGGAGGTGGGAGGGGGAGGGAGAAATCCAAAACAAAGTTTTCTTGCTCTGACAGAATATTAATCTTGTATGCTTGGATTGAGTTATTTAATTTTTTCCTTTTGCACATTTTTCTTGTATTAAGATTGCTCTTCCCAAGAGCCATGAGTTCCTGGTTTTAGGAATCCCAGCTGCCAGCATTGTCTGGGACTATAGGCTAATGGGGAGGCTACCATGAAGCAAAGGTCCCCCCTCCCTCTATCCTCCTGCCCAGACCTCTTTAGTTTGGGAGATCCCCCTTTCTCCTGGGGCAAGTACACCAGTGGGAGTGGAGGGGAGGAGCACCAGCCTTCATAGGGGGTTTCCCATGTGTAGCTACTGATCCTATGTTTCCTACCCACCTTCCAAATGGTGCGACCCAACTTCATTTGTTTACTTGAAAATTCTCCTCGGGGTTGAGTGAACCTCTGAGGTGACTGTATTTTCTCCTGAGCTTGAGATGGGGAGGCTGTAATCCTTCCTTTCTCCTGAGGAGAAAGTCCTTGCTCTTTAAGTTGCAGAGGAGGTTGGAGTGAGAGTGTCATGTATTGGGATAGTCAGGGATCCCTGCCTTTGGCCTTTCTTCTTCCTCTTCCATAGTTGGATCATGTATATTTTACTTCCAAAGGAGAGAATGTCAAAAAGTTCTGTATTTTTTTATATTCTATATATTAGGTAGGTCAATCTTAATTGGTCTCAAGAGGAAGAACTGTCTGTAATTTTGTAAGTAGGATACTGCGAGGAAGATCAGAAAGAGATGTGGATGCTTCCTTGCTCAGGAGGCTTGAGCTTGGTCCTTTTCCTCTCTGCTTATATTCTGGACCACCACCTGGGACCAGCCCTCAGCTCTGGAACCTTCCTAAAGCAGGTCAGCCTGGTCTGTCCCAGTACCTGAAGGGAGCAAGAATGGCTTTAGGCCCTGGTGAAGTCTACCACCTTAGTCCTTACTGTTGAGAATCCTACTTATATCATGAAACCCAGAAAGCAATTTGCCTTCTCAAATTCAATCTCAAAGGCTGTTGTCCACATACATTATCACAGATGGCTGCCTCTCCCATTATCACAGAAGCTTAGCAGCCTGAAAACTCTTGTAAGAGTTGTTGGTATCTTCTCTGTTTGAGATCCTTGCACCTGGTTTGGGTTTTCTCTTCCTTGTGACAGTTAGAATCCAGATGCCTTTTCTTTCTCTTTGAGTAAAGCTTGGGCAGTGCCTCAGTGGCTTACCTGTGCCTACTGGTGGATTACATATGATAGTAAAGACCAGCTGTTGGGGATGAGAGTAGAAGTTGTCAGCTGAGTGTAGCCCAACTGTGGAGCTAAAGGCTCAATTTGCCCCACCTCCCCAGGGTGGCCAGTCAGAGGTGTCCTGCTCCAAGCTAAGCTTTTCCTTCCCAGAAACTGCCATTCCTGCTCCCATTCCTACACATCTTCTGGCTCAGGTGAAATCTATGCCCCTCTACTTACAGATCTTCAGTTCAGGTACTTATTTTTGGCCGTTGGCCTTGAATTTGTCCTCTCCTAGTGTTGCGGTCCCACTCCAAAGCCATTTTCTGAGGAAGATGGTTTAGGGCTGGCAATGATCACTGAAAAACCTCACCAGTGTTATACCTACCATCTTGGTGAGTCAGATGCCACTTATCAGCTTGAGAATGATAACTACCAACCCCCAGTCTCCAGGAGGATGGGGGCAGAACCTTTTTTCACTTGGCCTGCTACCTCTATTATAAACTATTCTCTTACAGTTCAAAGAAAAGCCCTTCCCCCAGTCCCCACCCATCATCCTGTCCAAAAGGCAGAGCAATTTAGTAGGATCTACTTTGTACATCTCGAGCATCAGTTAATTCCCTACACTTGGGGCCAAATCCTTAGTGAGAAACTTACACATCCTGCTTTCTCAACTGTTCCTCCAAAATCTACTTTGGTTTCAGCTCTTGGTCCTGTACCAGATGGAAGACTCTCTTCTTGGTCATCTGGCTGCTGCTTAAAACCAGTTTGCCTTATGGACATCAGAGGCATAATGTGAGAACATTTCTCATCAGAGAAAAATGCCCTTGAGAAGCTTTTAGTTGTGTCTTTCCCAGACCACATTTTACCATGATCTTCCTCTAACCCCTTAGACCAGCAGGTGAAGCTCTTCCAGCCCACAGAGTCAGTCATGTCTTTTAGCTCTCCTCTCCTTTGGCCATCTTGAGGAATAAAATATTTCTATAGTCCGTACTTGAGAGTCATTCTTCATGGGCAGCCCCCATCTGGACCAAGACCTGACCTAAGTGAGGTCAAAGGCTTTTTGGCAGATTTCTGGTTGTTGCCAGGATAGAGGGGCTCCCCAGCCTGCTGTAGGGAATAGCCTGATGAGTTGAGGCGTGTTTTTGGAATACTTGTGTATTGTCATATGGCTGGTACATACATTTTAAGATCTCTGGTAGGGGTGGAGGTACCTAGGTGTGTATTCAGAGGGACAAGGAGCCACTTTCCTGGCTAATGTATTCAAAAACTGTTTTGCGCAGCACCAGCTATTCTTTATGGCTGGTCTCTCTAGACATCCCACCCCTAAATCATCTTCTCTAGTACTAACCAGGGTCTGTAGTCTTAGAAGCCTGCCTTCAGTTCCCAGCTATCCCCAGTAGTCTGGCCTTGATGTTGACTGCAACCTTCTGGTAGAACCACATGGGTTCCACCCTTGGCTTGCTAGCCTGGGTACTTGGGTCAGAGGGCACAAAAGAGCCCTCCAAAGATCAGGTGTTGATGACTTCAGTTTTCAGGGACACTTGGTGTTTCCCCTTAGAAACCTTAGATCTACTCCTTCGCCTCTCTGCCTTGGAAGCTGTTTTCCAGGAGCCATATTTTTTTGGAGCTTAACTACACAGATATAGCTGCTATTATATTTAGTTAAGGGAGAGGACAAGAAGGCTCTTAGGCACAGTCTTTTTGTTTCTTTCAAGCCAAACCAGTTTAAAATGAAAACTAACAGAATAATCTATATTTCTATTTTCTCATGTCTGCCTGCCTTCCTCCCACACCCTAAAGTTGTACCTGTTTCTAGCAAACTAGAAGGAAAGACAGGAAAGCCTAGCAATACTAACCTCGTCCACATGCCTCTCTTTGAAGGCCCCAGCTCTATTTTCAGATCTCTTCTCTCCTAGACTTACTCAGCTTGGTATCCATCATCTTGGGTATTCCTTAGTAGTTTCATTTTGGGCTCAGATTCTAGAGTCTTAGTTGAAGACAGGGAGCCAGTTTCTCCAGGTCCTTGCAGGCAGTCCAGGGACACCCAGTAGGGAGAAAAGGCTGGCTAGGCGCCTCAGGAATGTGTGTCTGCCTCCCTGCTAGCCTAAGGAAGAGTGCAAGGCTTAGTGCACTGAACCATAGGAAACATCTTCCAGGTATTACTGCCCTAGAAGTTAGGGAGTATGAGACAGATTGCTCAGAATAAATTTCTTCCACAGCCATTTAGGATTGCACATTCAAGACCAACCTTGTTCGGTATTTTAACTATTTTAGCTTCTGAATTATTTTGTTAAGCCAACAAGCTGAGAATTTGGCCTTACTGGATCCATGTGGTAGGTACTAGCTGCTCTCTGGTCAAGACCTTCATAAGTGATTCAGTCATCCCATTGTCTATCCTCTAGACCCACCCCCAGATTAAGACTATGGCAAGGGGAAAATTGGAGGTCAAGACCAACCAAATCTGTGAATTAAAGCTGTTATTTTTCTGCTGGAAGGCCATTTTGCTTCAGGCTTGGGCTATGTGCAGAACTAAAGCTGGCTGTGAGAGAAGAGGCAGCATTAAATTTTGGGCCCAGAACAATCATGAGAAAAGTTTGTATGTTGTGGCTTCAGTGGGCTTGGGCCTCCCTGGCTACTTCTGGGCCAGCCTGACTTCTGATGTCCACATTAGTCCATACCTGAACTTCACTGTTAAATGCTAGCCCTCCTCTCCTGTAACTGTATACCATGCCCTGGGGGCAGTGAAAGAAGTAAGAAGAGCTCAGAGATCCTGAGACTGGCTGGGGACCTCTGACTCAGAGAATGTCCTTAAAGAATCCACATATAGATGAGGTCCTGAGGTTGGGCATTGGCTTTTTTAGCCTGCTTTTGAGAACTGCCATTGACTGACCTATAGAAGAAGGAAAGGGGGGGATGAGGGTCCTAGCCACCCAGCAGACGGAATGTCCCCCAAGAATAATAGCTTGAGTTTTCAGCTGTGAACCTTAGGAAGGTGAATCAAATCCTTCTCACTAGCTTTTCTTTGCAAATTCATTTGCTTTTATTTTTCTAAGAACTATAAACTCTGGCTATTTTCCATGTTCTCAGGGCCCCTGGGTAGACAGACAAAGCTTGATGATTTCAGAGCAGACACAGGCCAAGAAACCATGGCATTGAGTGTGCTGAGTCCAGACAAATGATATTTATATACACATCCAAATTTGAAGAGAAAATGTATTTCTTTAGGTTTCAAACACTGTAATAGATATAAAGCAAAAAAATAAAGACCTGTTGCAAAGTTCTAAATTGTCGTCTTTGAATTAGAATGATCCTAGACTGGATTTTTTGGAATTGAGTGAGAAGGTGTTTAAACTTGTAGCTTTTTTTTTTTTTTTTTTTTTTTGAGTTGAAGTCTGAAGTCTCATTCTGTCACCCAGACTGGAGTGCAGTGGCACGCTTCCAGCCACTGCAGCCTCACCTGCTGGGCTCCGGCGATCCTTCCACCTCAGCCTTCCAAGCAGCTGGAACTACAGGCATGCGCTACTACGCCTGGCTAATTTTTGATTTATTGTAGAGATGAGGTCTCGCCAAGTTGCCCAGGCGGGTCTTGAACCTGCGGGTCCAGGCAATCCACTCACCTCAGCCTCCCAAAGCACTGGGACTACAGGCTGAGATACCAAGCCTGGCTTAAACTTGTAGCTTTTTTTTTTTTTTGAGTTGGAGTCTCAGGATGTCACCCAGACTGGAGTGCAGTGGCACGCTCCTGGCCACTACAGCCTCACC